GCATTTCGAATAGACTTTACCCCCCCCCCCCCCCTACCTCCCCCCTCTATTCGAAAGTCTTGTCGCACATTTTCTGTGTTTATTTACTGTACACGTCCATGCCCCATACTCCTTATGTACGTGTACATGGATATGAATGTTTTGCTAGAGCGGTCGTGAATGGCATACAGTAGTACATGTACCGCATTTACTGAGTACAAGTACAATCAATGACATGTACACGCGCATAAACATAGTTCCTCCACAACAACTGTACTGCTGTAAACGCTGGCCAGGTACACGGTTTGATCAGGCTGGTGTGACATTTGACACCTCTGAGTAGCCTGCATGCATGTAGAGCAAGGGTTAGCTGATCTGCAAACACAGGTAGATCTCCACCTAAACACACTCATTTGCTGCAGGGATCTCGCACGGTAGTAGATTGTACAGTTCCAGAAAATGTGCGAACAGTCATTTTTCTATTCGAAAAGGGCGCTACCCCCCCTACCCCCGTTTCGAAATGCGTTACGTTTCGAAACAAAATGCGAACTTATGAGATGCTCCCTAAGTTATGAGTGAATGTGTGCGTGTGAGTGCGTGCGTGCTTGCGTGCGTGCGTGCTTGCGTGCGTGTGTGTGTGGGGGGGGGGGGGTACATGGTGTGTGCGCGTGTCTGTGTGTGTGTGTGTATGTATGTGTGTGTGTGTGTGTATGTGTGTGTGTGTGTGTGTGTGTGTGTGTGTGTGTATGTGTGTGTGTGTGTGTGTGTGTGTGTGTGTATGTGTGTGTGTGTGTGTATGTGTGTGTGTGTGTGTGTGTGTGTGTGTGTGTGTGTGTGTGTGTGTGTGTGTGTGTGTGTGTTTGCATGATGTTCCTCTGACCAAGTCTGCAGGCTTCTGTTTGCCTGTCTAACTTTGTGTGTATTTTTCACGCTGTTCTCCTTTTTTTCCTGTCCTGCAGGCTTCCCGGTACGAGACTGACATTCGAGCGGCCGAGGAACACCACAGGCGAATGGGCAGCTTCCTGCGACTGGCACGCGAGGAGCACATCGCGTGGTACGAGGCGGCCATTCCACACGTGCAGCGCTACGTCTCCAAACGCCGCACCCGCAGCGAGCAGCCGCGATTGCGCAGAGCGCGCTGGGAAACAGGTGGAGTTTGACGGACGCAATCGCTACAGTACCGTCCGTAGTGCATGGATGAACGTCATTGTACCGGTTATGGAGCCCCAGCTTGAATAATATCTATATGCCACCACGAAGACGAATATTGATCCTAGTCACCAAAGTTCTGTATGTGCTCGGATCTGGATAAGCTATTTCCGGCTTTTCCGTTGACTGAACCCTGCATAGGCACGCCTCGGAGTTAGGAAATGTCGTCACGACAGATCATCCTTTAGTGTGCGTTTGGTGAACTACTCGGAACCCGCAACTAGTGTTGCTGCTGTCTCGATCCTATCTGCAATCTTCTGCATGACCTTATGGCCATGTGAATTCGCTAAATACTTGCTCAAGAGTCCAGACTGATGGCAGTGCTGTGGGATAGTAGTGTGTGCGTGTGCATGTGCGTGTGTGTGTGCGTGTATGCATGCGTGTGCGTGCATGCGTGTGCGTGCATGCATGCGTGTGTGGGTGTTCAATTTCTTCTAACTGGCCCATGCCATGCTATCCACATGTCGCTGTGTGTTGTATAATAATATGATTGTATATGCAGTACATTAATCATTGAGTCAGTATGTCAACTTTCTGACATCATCCCCATGTAGTAATGACATCATGGCAAGTAATCCTCGTTGTATGCGAATACAACCGAAGGCACTTTACACAGTATATTTAAAAGAGTCCCGTATTTGCTATTATTCCATCCCATATTTGGTGATGTTGGTGGTGTGTGTCTATCATAATCATCACCTGTACTTGTTTCTGATTTGTGAGGGTCTATTCGAGAAAGTAGTAATATATCGAATTATGTTTCCGTGTCATCTAAATCTTCCTGCTGTCCAATTGCTTGCCACTCGTGCACATTGTGATTGTGGATGTAATTGTTGAGAGTACTCTCCTATCCTTGTGACTGATTGCACTGAACTCCAGTCAGTCTATGGCCCATTCTATACAACTTGTCTATGGACCATTCTACACCACTTTAGTGTATGCATATGCTGAGAGGCTGCTGGAACGTAAATTCTTCCTATTTTTCTTGATCACCTTGATATTCCCTCGATCATGCTTGAAACTTCATTCTTGGCTTGCTTGTATGTTTTTTGTACTGGGTGTGTGTGTGTGCGTGTGTGTGTGTGTTCGTGTGTGTGTGCGTGTGCATGTGCGTGTGTGCGCGCGCTGTGTGTACATCGCTGGACTGGGTCACTCTACTAATAACAACCTGTCCGAGGTGACATCAGATCTTGCTCACGTGGCTGAAACGTGCTAGAATTGTCCCTGCCTCACGCCCATACGTGCCGCTTGTGACTGCTTTCCGTGCTGCATTAGCAGTTTCCGGCGTGAAAATAGCCAGCTGTCATCATGG